TAAATTTTAAACCCAATGTGTTCTACAAGTTGTTTGGTAATTTTGGAATTGGGCTTTACCATAGAAACTGTTATGAAATGAAGTTTCTCGGGTCAACTCAGAAAAAAAAAATTTAAACAATAATGTGTTTTGGAAGTAGCACAATATTATCATTTTATCTATAACTAATGCCTCCTTTAACCTTATTTTTATCAAATTTTCTGAGTTTCAACATTAATCCTGGAATCTTAACTTTCTGTAAAAACTTTACAGGCTTCATAGTGTGGTAGGATGGGAGCAAGACATAGATATTGATATTTGTGAGAAACTTTCATTCTTGAGAAGACTCCTCCCCCTTTATCATTTTTTTTTTACACTGTGTTCATAAGAACCCTAAAATTATTCCCTCAGCCTTGCTTTCCAGCAGAATAGCTTTGTTTTATTTGTTTAATATGTTGGGATTTGCCTAAGAATTCATCCATTTAATTATTAGCCTAGTTATGAAGAGCTCAGGCTCTCAAAGAAGACTATAAATTCATTTATCTGCTTTACCGTGATTGATTTTGGAAGCTTGGGTAAGTTACTTCACCTCTCTGTACTTTGGTTTCCTCATCTGTAAAATGGAGATAATAGTACTTACTTCATAGGTTCTTTGCGAGAATTAATTGAGACAATATATGTACATTTTCTAGAATAGCACTTACTGTCCAAGTGCATGAGACTTTGCATATAAGTGGTTAAGTCTCTGTTCAAACTGGCAACTGTCTGATGCCAAAGCTGGACTCTTATCACTATTAGATTATAGGGTTGAACTAAACCGAGGAAATTAAAGGAATGAAGTGGATTGAGGGATTGGGGCTAGAAGAAAAGATTTAGTACCTCTCCTCAAAGGGCACCTCATAAGCTCAGATACTGATTCTTGTTTATGAAAGATCATAGAAAAAAGCGTGCTTCAGAAAGGAGAGTTTTTATGTGTGTCTTCCACTGGTAAGGAATTCAGAATGTTAGTAAAAAGAAGTTTATTTTAGCTTGTTCTAGACTAGGGTTGTTTCAGAAAGCCTGCAAAATAGATTGATTTTCCTAGAAACCTTCAAGGAAGCTGATCAACTGATTAGAATGTCTTGTGACTCTTAATAATTAAGTGAGGAGCACAGTAGTTTTATGTAATAATGAAACTTGTCTTAAAAGAGCCTGAGGGGCTTCCCTGGTGGCTCAGTGGTTGAGAGTCCGCCTGCCGATGCAGGGGGCGCGGGTTCATGTCCCGGTCCGGGAGGATCCCACGTGCCGCAGAGTGGCTGGGCCCGTGGGCCATGGCCGCTGAGCCTGCGCATCTGGAGCCTGTGCTCCACAACGGGAGAGGTCTTTTTTAGTTTATTTTTCTTGACAAAAGAATTAACTATATTATAGTAAATTATTTTAAAGACATATGTTATGCAAACATAAGCCATGGCATGTTAATCCTTTGGATATTTTTTTGAGTCCAAAAAGTAAACCATGGAACATGCTATGACTTCCACACTATTAATGACACAAATCACAAAAATAGCTAAAGGTCTATCTAGGAAGGAGACACTTGAAAAAACCTTTTTTTTTTTTGCGGTATGTGGGCCTCTCACTGTTGTGGCCTCTCCCCTTGCGGAGCACAGGCTCTGGACGCGGAGGCTCAGAGGCCATGGCCCACGGGCCCAGCCGCTCCGCGGCATGCGGGATCTTCCTGGACCGGGGCACGAACCCGTGTCCCCTGCATCGGCAGGCAGACTTCCAACCACTGCGCCACCTGGGAAACCCTGAGAAAACCCTTTTAAAAGGCATCTGAACAGTAATCATAGCTGTCAAACCGTTATGTGGTATTCTTATATATTAAATATATATTTAATATTTAATGGAAGAAAATAAAGGAAGGCATTAACAACAAAAGAATTTTAAGGAATTCAAATTTTAGCCAATCCAGAGAATCAGTGCAAAAGGTCTGAAGCTCAGTCTAGAAGTAAAATTTCGATGAGAGTTGGCTGTTTCTAAAATGGGAATTATATTATAGGCTTACAACCTATACCAGTAGAATTCTAAACCAACCAATGATACTCCTGTTCCTAAAGAAGTCACATTAAGAGCACTCAGACAACTTCTACCCATGGAGAACCAACTTCCAAGAAGATCAAAATTATTGAAGCATTCTTTGCATCAGCATGGCTTCCAAAAATTGGAAATGAAGATTGTATATAATAATTATACATAATATATTAATAATAATGATATATAATTAATGTAGCATTAAAATTACATATACATTATATGATCTTGGGATTGATCACTAAAAAATAGGTTTTAATACCATCAGGTCCAGCTATCTGATTTTTATCAAGTGAGCAGGAACTGAGAAACTAAATGACTGAAATTAAGTGATTAATTATTGTCAACTTTGATATAATAATATTGGTCTTTCAATAGTTCCTCTTTCTACATACCATACTTTCATCATATGTTAATTTTTTTCATTTCTTATATAATAGTTAATTTTGCCTTGGATTTTCTTGAACATTTATTCATGAAGATGAGGCAGTTTCTGAAAAATTATTATGATGCTTGTGACTTCTCATGAAGATGGATCAACAGGGTTTCTTTTTAGTCTTGCTCATTTACTCACTGAATTAAGTGTGTGGTGAAGGTGATATGGCACGTAAGCATAAAAGGAGGTGCCGTGAGATCACATTAGCATGCTTTAATAACATGTATCCTAATAATATGACAGATCTTAGTTATATATACTCATTTAATAGATCCAGTTACTAGATAACTCCCAGAGAGATGATTTGTGAAGGATATTCTGAAGTCTTTTAACAAATGATATATTTCAGATTGTTTTCATACAGCCATGTGAGCCACAGTAAGAAATAAAACACCCTCCTGAAATAACAAATTTCTTTTAAAAATCAAATTAACTCCAATAAACAAAATCCACCATGAATTTTGCATGTTTTCCAAAGGTTTTGTTTTAATCAGATGCTTGTTATAAATTCCTCCAGTGATGACTTGGAATTAAGTATTGAAAGCAGTAGTTGTCTGTACTCTGTTCTACTAGTTGAACTGATGAAATATCAAAGCTTTTAGTAATTGCAGTTAATCAACATCATGAATTATTCTTACAGTTATTTAAACATAGGCTTTCTTTTATCATTATACATGTTTCTCAACCATTTTCTTCCATCTCTTTCTCTCCCTGCATCTATTTTTCATCTTGTCCATTGGTAGAAATGCAGAGTAATTTTAATATGATATCTAAAATATAATTAGTCAAATATGCTTTAAAGAATATATTCCAAAATCATATATAGGGCAATACATTCTATAGTGAATCTTTTATGATGCCCACTTTGTTTCCCTCTCTCTCTCCCTTCCCCTTCCCCCCTCATCTCTTTTTGAGGAAGGAAAGGAAACAAGTTGTAGAGGATAATTTTTTGAACAAAAAGCAATCAGAGTGGAAAAACCATATTTCCCATCACATATCCTTAAATGTGATTTTGATCAGAGTGTGGGCTTTATGAGTGTAAGATTACTTGAGTTTCATTTAATTAAAGTAGGAATCAAAGGGCCAAAACATTCAGTTTTCTATTGCCTTTCTCATATCTGACTCTATCTCAGCTAAAATATTATCTCGATGGAAAAAAGTATCTGTAGTATGCTACTTTTATCTAAAGAGAGGATATATGTGTGTGTGTGTGTGTGTGTGTTGGTATGTGTGTGTATCTCTGTGTGTTTATATAGATTTACACCCACACAGACATATGCTTATCAGTTTAAGAAATAATGGAAGAATAAACCAGAAAATAAAAAATCCCATTCATCAATTCTCCAAAGTGATTAAACCATTTTCACTCCCACTTCAATGTATGAGAGTTTCATTTACTCTATCCTCATTTGGTGGTGTTAGTCTTTTCGATTTTAACTGTTCTAATGAGTGAAATGTTATCTCCTTGTGATTTTATTTTATTTTTATTTATTTATTTTTGCCTGTGTTGGGTCTTCATTGCTGCACACGGGCTTTCTCTAGTTGCAGTGAGCAGGGGCTACTCTTCATTGCGGTGTGAGGGCTTCTCATTGCGGTGGCTTCTCTTGTTGCAGAGCATGAGCTCTAGGTGCACGGGCTTCAGTAGCTGTGGCTCACGGGCTCTAGATCGCAGGCTCAGTAGTTGTGGCGCATGGGCTTAGTTGCTCTGCGGCATGTGGGATCTTCCCGGACCAGGGCTCGAACCCATGTCCCCTGCATTGGCAGGTGGATTCTCAACCACTGTGCCACCAGGGAAGCCCCTCATCGTGATTTTAATTTACATTAAATCATGTTGAGCCCTTTTACATGTACCTATTTGCTACTTGTATATCTTCTTTTGTGAAGTGTCTATTCACTCTTTTGCCACTGGGAGGGGGTTATTAGTCTTTTTATTTTTGATTTGTAGGAATTTGTATATATTTTGAATACATTTTCTTTGTCAGATGTGTAACCTCTTGCTTCTATTTAACAAAACAATAATAAAAGGATATTATGTATAGAAGATATTGATACATTTAATATTTATAAACTGGCAATTTTGGAAGGAAATTAGAGTAATTAGTATTTAAAATACAGACCTTAGGGGCTTCCCTGGTGGCGCAGTGGTTGAGAGTCCACCTGCCGATGCAGGGGACATGGGTTTGTGCCCCGGTTCGGGAAGATCCCACATGCCGCGGAGTGGCTGGGCCCTGAGCGTCCGGAGATCAGGCTGAGGCTGAGCTCAGCTCAGGCTGAGCCTGAGCGTCCGGAGCCTGTGCTCCGCAATGGGAGAGGCCACAACAGTGAGAGGCCCGCGTACCGCAAAAAATAAAATAAAAAACAGACCTTATAGTTTTAAACTTAAAAGAAAAATTACATTCTATATACATTACATTACATCTATATATACATATACATATACATCTATATACATATACATTACATCTATATAAATTACATTCTATATACATTACATTCATTCTATTTTTTATTTCAGGTGCAATTAAAAACCAGCATTTCTAGTCAGTATGTAATTCGGGCACAACCAACTAATAGGTGCCTTTCTACACTGGAGTGTGCAGCTGTTGCTCTTTCTATCTTGGAGAAAAATAATTACATACAAGAGGTATGTCTTTGGAAAGTTATATAGTTTTTGAAAGTAGGAGTTTGTTTAGATTTTTATCTAGAAAATTTAAAAATGCATAACTTGTTAAATTTTTAACTTAAGTGACAAGTAGACTGTATCTGTGATAGAAATTTGTGCACTCTTATAACCTTCCTTTCCCCTCTGGTGTTTTTCTGTTAGTTTAACGTTCCAGATTGCATTATTTAAATATTCATTCTAAGCTGTGCAAACAGCATTTGTAATATGCTAAATCGTTTTTAAGTAGCATAACATTAAATATAGTTTTTTGGGCTAGATATGTCTTTCAGTAGTCTGTATTTCTGTTTTAGTCTTTTGTGTTCTCTTGTACTAGACTTTTTTCTTTTTATTTAAAAGAACATTTTACAGCAAGATTTTTTTCATTGGTGCTTTTATTTGAGGAGATATACCAACTTCCTGTTTATCTTATTAACCTTGCTTAGGGTATAAAAAGATATAATTTTTTTTGAGAAAAAGCCTACAGAATATGAAAAGGTTATAACCTGCAATCAACATTTTATTTAATTTCCATGAAAGCCTGATGATTTCATATATAATTCATAATGATTAGTAAATAATAATGTTTCAGTGAGCTCACCAACATCTTAACCTTTTAGAACATGTAAGAAACTTTACATTTATGACAAGAGAAAAAAATAGCAAACTAAATGGAGTTTTATAACTCCCTCTTCTAACACACACACACACACACACACACACACACACACACACACACGCACAAAGTATCCTCTTTCCTGCCTTCTTTCTTTCTCATTATACACCATGGTTTCTATTATAAAAGTGTGCCTTAGCCATGAGGGAAATTCCAATAATGGATAAAAGCTTAGGTCAGAGTAACTGGATAAGTGGATTAGTTACCAAGAAAAAGAACAAAAGACCTCCAAAGCAAGGGGAGTTAAAGAATGCCAGAAGAAGCATTGAATTGCCCTTTTCCTCTCCCCTACCCTAAGCCATGGTATGTGTCAGAGTTGGAGACTTTCTTCTTTTGAAAGAAGTAGGCTTTCATGAGTAGGCTATTTTTGTGTCTGTCTGTGTAAGTAGACTTAGTTTTGGGTCTAGGCAATTTCTCTTTCTCTCTTTTGAGGGAAAAAATGCGTGAGGTATCCTAAATCCTTCCTCCAAATGACCAGGGAGTGTTCTCAGACTTTTTTTTTCTCCCCTCTGACTTTAGCACCTACTCCCATGTACCTTCCATCAATATAACACTTAATATACCCCTATACTTGTCTCTCTGTTTTGTTTATTAACCATCATCTGTGTATGTTCTTCAGCAGAAAACAACATTATTTTTAGGTGTCTTAAAGGACAGATGGAACCCAGGGCTGTTGTTTAAGCTTGCTTTCTGTACAGTCTCTGTATTTTCCTTTTTGTTGATGTAAAATCCTAGGATCAGCCAACATCAGACATAGGCCTCATTAAAAGTTTAAATCTTGAGGGAAAAATATAATGGTCTTTGGCTATAAATTTAAAATTTCTTTCCTCTTCTTCTTTTGGTTTATAAAAAGAATCTTCTATGGGTTTATATTTATTATTCCCACAATTGGAATTGGATCTTTACTGCATTCCTAAACAGAAGCTTTAATGTTGGTAACGGTGGTGTTTTAGTAGTAGTAGTTATAGTATAATAGGGCTAGGGTTTGGCATAGGGTTTGTACTGCTACTACTACTACAAATGCTGCTACTGCTCCCCCCTTTCCAGCTTTATAAGATATATTATTCTGGTATTAATTAATGTAGTGTCACAGCAGGAAACCTGTCTTATGTTTTTAGTATAATATCTTACAACAGGCAAAGTTTAAGAGGCAGAGGATATAAGGATCTATCATCTCTTCAGCTTTTGGAGCTTTTATTTTTTTCTGTGGATCAAGTTGAACATAAAATCCCAAAGCAAAAGTGGGGTCCTAGAGTTCTCATTCTTTTTGCTTTGGTCACCAGGAGTGGTTATACTGTAGTGACCAGGAGTAGAAGAAAGATGTTTGATAATCAGACATGTGATTTGGGAGGTGCTGATAAGATGGTTGCAGGAACATGAGCAGAAAAAAAGCATATGAAACATCCCAAGTTGCTTATTACATCTGGCAAACAATTAGCTTTCTTAGTGGGGGAACACCAAGTCCAGCTTGTTTAAATCTAGCTACAATAAAAAAATTAGTACATTCTTCTGAACATCTGCTCTGAAATAGGTGTTTTCTTTCCTTCCTGGGGAGGAAAGCTATAACATGCCTTTTCCCCCCAATAACCTTTTATTAGGGCATCCTAATAAAACCTTAAGATGATGGGGAGAGTAGTAGTTTTTCAGCTGGCTTCATTCTGTAGAGGTAGGGCTCCTCAAAATAAAGAACTTGGCATAGAATGGCCTTCTTAGTCTGTTGATTCATTCTCTTCCTTTATTCTTTTTTTTTTTTTTTTTTTTTTTTGCGGTATGCGGGCCTCTCACTGTTGTGGCCTCTCCTGTTGCAGAGCACAGGCTCCGGACGCGCAGGCTCAGCGGCCATGGCTCACGGGCCCAGCCGCTCCGCGGCATGTGGGATCTTCCCAGACCGGGGCACGAACCCGTGTCCCCTGCATCGGCAGGCGGACTCTCAACCACTGCGCCACCAGGGAAGCCCTCTTCCTTTATTCTTGAGCAGTTTTCAGTCACTTGGAGGTAGCATGATATGAGTTTTGAAGCAAGTTTGAGTTAAAACTTTATCACTTATCATCAGCAGTTTTTGCCAGAAGGCAATTCATGTAATCTCTTTGTGTTTGTTTTCTTATCTGCGATATACAAAAAATAGTTACCTCATAATATTGTTATGAGAATCGAATGGGATAATGTATGTTAATTGCCTGACACCGGGCTCTCAATAAGAGTTCATCTTTTTGCCTTTCCTCGCCTCTGATTCTTGTCTATTGATTGGCAGAAAAATTGAACTGAAAGTTGGTGATTTTCATTTTGCCATTATAATATGTACCAGGGTTACTCATACCTTGGAAGCCTTATGAACTTTTGTAACTAGACGTGGCAAAGCTTTGTGCTGTAACCTAAATGTCTTAGCTCTACTTATCACCAGTAGTTGTTAATAACGGTCTTTTTAAACTGTCACGTTGCATTTATAGACATAGAGGATTTACAAAACACTGATTTTCCCACAAATAAACTTTTAGAAACTAATTTTGTAAGTAGAGGATTTTCTTTGTTCTTCTGAACCAGTAAACCTCTCATATAGCTTCACATTGCCCCAGATATAATGTTATGAATGTAGAGAGAAACTATTATCAATCAAGTTATATGCTAAGCACTTTAAATGTATCATGCGTGCACCATAATAATAACCTTATAAGGTGGACCTAATATTCCTCACTTTACAGATGATGAAAACGAGGCAAAGAGAGGTTATTTAACTTATCTGGGAACACATAGCTAGTAAGTGATTCCATCAGTCACTTAAAACCCCAAAATCAGAATGGCATAACACACTGTCTGTACAGTGGGATTGCCAGGGGGACCACTGCTAATTATAGTCACTTAGGGATCCAGACTGATGGATGCACCATCTAGACACATCACTCTACTTTTATTAAGGAAGGAATAAAGAGAGGTGGGGAATCATACACTACTTTTAAAGCATCTGCCCAGAGGTGACACACATTATTTGTGCTCACATTTCATTAACCAAGTCAAGTTATATGGCCATGCCTAACTTCAGAGGGGCTAGAAAATGCAGTCTGATCATGTATCATGAAAGAGGACTGATGTATTTGTGAACAACCCTAGTGACTACCACAGATCTATCTCCAAAATTCATTGTCTTAGCTACTCAGAAAATTGATAGAATCTTATCTTCAGGAAGTAAAAGTTGAAGGCCCTTAATCATAGGAGTATTAATGCTCTTCTGTCTATGAAGAATCTAATAAATGTCATAAAATAGCAATTGTCTCAGTCTGTATATGGTCCAAGGTATGTTTCCTAGGTATGTTTCAGGATTCAATCACTTCCTTATGTTGACTCTGTAAAGTAATTATAGTCATTACTATATTTCTTCTCTTGTTTGAAGAATTGAAGATACAAAAAGAAATTATGAGGACATACCTAAGAGACTCTCTACAATAATGTCAGGCAGAGCTTTTCCAAGATGTTTGTCTTTTTCTTACTGGTGTGTCTCAGGAGTTACATTTAGTTGCATGTAACAGAGCCCTTACTGCAGAGGTTGAGCCATATATGAGTTTATTTTTCTCCTGTAATAAGAAATGCTGAAGTTAGTGTTCTATGGCTGGGGATGCAGCTGAAGAGGACATCAGAGACCCAGATTTCTTCTGTCTTTCTGTCCATCATTGTATGTATTTGGCTTTAATTTCCATGTTTATTGTCCTGTAGTCACATAGTGGTCATCCCACATGTGGCAATCACGTTCCAGGCAAGAAGAAAAGGCAAAAGCCTATGCCTGCCAGGTCTGTCCCAACCCAAGGCCTTCCACTTACATCTTGTTGGATAAACTGTCATTAGTCAATGTAGTATTACTAGCTGGACACATTGCCACCTTGAATAAAATTTTAGATTTTTTTTAATAAGGAGGAAAAGAATGGATATGGAGAGCAACTACCAGTGACTGCCACATATTTGCAAGAGTTCATTGTAAATTAAAGCTGTTAAGCCCTTTGCTGCCACTTCTTTTGTATATGTGGGGGAATACATTTTCACATAGACATTGTGAAGTTTTTGTAGTTAAATCTATCTTTGTTTCTTTTATTTTCTTTTTAAACAATCTGCACCATCAAGTTTGTTATTTAAAAGTGTTAGATCAGGGAACTCAGACCCAGGGAAAGACTCTGACTCAAATATGTTTAAAACACTAGCTTAATGTTTTCTTTTTTTTCCTAATTTTTGAATTTGAATAACTTTAAGAAGGACATATGCTCAGTTGTTTAACAACCTCCACCATTCTGTGTTACCTTATAGGTCCACCTAGGTCACATGTTTATGTTATATGTCTGGCCCTATAGGTATTTGAGTTCAGACAGGTATGTATACCGTTACAGTTATTTCAAATGCACCCACACCTGGTTATCTAACTTGTATGTGGGCCATGGAGTAGTGTGAGAGAATTAGTAAACTTACCCATTGCTGCCATCATCCATTTGTTAGCAAGTAGCGGGAAGCTTGTGTTAGTCTGTGATTGAAACTGAATTAGCTAATTTGTACCTAAATGTCTCTTTTAGTCTGCTGTTACAGATTAGTTATTATAATGGCAACAATTTTTGTAGTGTTTGAATATATTAAAGTATAAAACTAAATTTAGACTTTATCACCTATATGGAAAATTAGTATTTGTGTCTTACTGGAATTCCTTAGTGGTATGTAAGGTATGAATTTAAATGAATTATTTATTTAGAAGTTATCATGTATTTGAGTGCCTATTGCTTTTCATAGTTAAAAGCTAATAATAAAATAATAATCCCTGTTTCTAAAGAAAAAATTTAGATAGAATATCATGATTTGTCACACTTTTTTTAGTATCTTTCTTTTTTTTTTATCTTAACAGACTTTGCTTCGCCCTCTTCAAGCTTTATGCTCTTTCCAGCTTCAGCATGGTGCTCAAATTCGCCTCAGCAAGGAACACCTTCTGAAAAATGGATTATATCCTAAGCCGATGCCAAAGAACAAACGCAAACTCAGGAAAATGGAACTATTAATGAACAGCATTAAAATTTAGTATAGTTGTTCTTATGGTGCTAGTTTTGTTGTCTTCAGCTGACAATAACAAGTTAACTTTTTATACATTTTAAGTCTGTGGGTTTTTGTCTAAAGAATGAGAGTTACATACTAAACTTATCCAGAAGAAGAAAGTAATCCAAATAGCCAAAAACCAAACAAACAAAATTCAGTGATTCAGTGAAAAGCAAGATTTTGTACTGTATTTGTTTTTAAAATGTGCCTCTAATACATTTTTTCAAGTCAGTAATTTGAAATGTGATTAGTTGTTGAGCTGGGTTAGAAGTACTTATTAATAAAAGGGAATGGAAGGAAATTGATGTGCCTGACTGGTTCAGTATTGTTTCTGTTAGTGTTTATAGATAATTAGGTGTAGACCTATAATAGAGGATATGTACCTCAAGTTGCCATCTTGCACATGAACTTTATAGTTTGAAATAAGTAACAAAAGAAAATAATAATCAAGTAATTTAGGTTGAATTTATTTATTTCATACATAAGTATTCTTTAGGGACTAAACTTGAATTCAGCCAATGTGATTTAAGTGTGCGATTAATTGCCCATATTTTTAAAGTTAAAGTTTAATTAGAAAAAGTATATTTACTGTCTAACATTATTTTCAGGTGTACAACATAATGATTTGGTATTTGTATACATTGCAAAATGATCACTACAATAAGTCTAGTTAAAATCTGTCATCTTACATAATTAGAACAAATGTTTTTCTTGTGATGAGAAGTTTTAAGATATACTCCCTTAGCAACTTTAAAATATACAATACAGTATTACTAACTATAGTCACCATGCTGTATATTACATTCCCATGACTTACTTGTTTAAAAACGGCCCTTTTGACCCTCTTCACCCATTTCACTCCCACCCTCACCTCCACCCCTGCCTCTGGTAAATAGCAGTCTGTTTTCTTTATCTTAGAGCTTGTCTGTCTATAAGCTTTTTTTTTTTTTTTTTCCAGATTCCATATTTAAGTGATACCATTTCTTTGTCCGACTTACTTCACTTAGCATAATGCCCTAAAGGTCCATCCGTGTTGTTGCAAATGGCAAGATTTCATTATTTTTTTATGGATGAATAATACTCCTTTATATATATATATATATATATATATATATATAATGTGTTTGTGCATGCATGTGTGTATTACATTTTTTAAATGGCAAGATTTCATTATTTTTTTATGGATGAATAATACTCCTTTATATATATATATATATATATATATATATATAATGTGCTTGTGCATGCATGTGTGTATCACATTTTCTTTATCCATTCATCCATTGATGGGATGCTTAGGTTGTTTCCATATCTTGTCTGTTGTAAATAATGCTGTAATGAACATGGTGGTGCAGATATCTTTTCGAGTTAGTGTTTTCTTTGGGTAAATACCCAGAAGTGGAGTCACTGGATCATATGGTAATTCTATTTTCAATTTTTGAGGAACCTCCATGCTGCCTTCCATAGTGGCTGCATCAATTTATATTCCCACCAGCAATGCACAAGGGTTTCCTTTTCTCCACATCCTTGCCAGCATTTGTTATTTATTGTCTTTTTGATGACAGCCATTCTGACAGGTGTGAGGTGGTGACTCATTTTGGTTTTGATTTGCATTTCCCTGATGAATAGTGATGCTGAGCATCTTCTCATGTACCTGTTGGCCATCTATATGTCTTCTTTGGAAAAATGTCTATTCAAATCCTCTGCCCATTTTTAAATTGGATTGTTTGTTTTTTTGATATTTAATTGTAATAGTTCTTTATATATTTTGGATAGTAACCCCTTATTAGATACATGATTTGCAAATATCTTCTCTCATTAAGTAGGATGCTTTTTCATTTTGTTGATGGTTTCCTTTGCTGTGCAGAAGTTCTTCAGTTTGATGTACTCCCACTTGTTTATTTTTGATTTTATTGCCTGACTTTGCTTCTGGTGTCAGATTCAAAAAAGCATTGCCAAGACCTATGTCATAGAGCTTACTGCTTATGTTTTCTTCTGGGAGTTTTACGGTTTTAGGTCTTACGTTTTAGTTCTTAAATCCATTTTGAGTTGATCTTTTTGTATGGTGTAAGATAGTGGTCCTGTTTCCTTCTTTTGCATGTGGCTACATGTGGCTGTTCAGTTTTCCCAACATCATTTATTGAAGAGACTGTGTTTTCTCCATTGTATATTCTTGCCTCCTTTGTGGTAGATTACTTGACCATATAAGTGTGGATTTGTTTCTTGGCTATCTGTTTGTTTCATTGATCTATGTGTCTGTTTTTGTGCTAGTACCATACTGTTTGATTACTGTAGCTTTGTAATATAGTTTGAAATCAGGAAGCATGATACCTCCAGCTTTGTTCTTTCTCAAGATTGCTTTGGCTGTTCATGGTTTTTTTTGGTTTCATACACATTTTAGGATTATTTGTTCTATTTCTGTGAAAAATGCTATTGGAATTTTGATAGATATAGCATTGAATCTGTAGATTGCCTTTGATAGAGCCCTGATTTTTAAAGAGGTGCATGTAATTTTGAAATAGCACACATTTTCATTTGTATGCAATCTGGATAAGTTTAGATTTCTCAGTATTCATTGAACAAGTTTATTGACTGTGATAAACTACGTAGATTGAAGTTTTCATATGGAAATAACTGTAGAATATAAGACAGCTATAATTTTGAGAACAAATATAAATATTTTTATTGGACAAAAACTTTCCATTTGAGAGAATAAATTTTTCCCATTCCCTTGGGAAAATATTTAAGGAGATTTCTATATAGAAAAGAGACATACATGTAGTATATATTTATATCTAACATATCTACTGCAGTTATGTACACATTTCAGCAAGAAGAAGGGACTTTGTTTTTTTCTTTATTTATGACTTCTAGAGTTTCCTGTATGTAGTTTTAAATTGTAAGGAAAAACTAAACATTAGATTTAAAAGTAAGCTTTATACACACACACACACATTTAATTTTTTCTAGTATACAGAGCTCTTTTAGTCACTTACTCTCTTTAAGCAGTTTTAAATACATTTTAAAAACTATTATTAATATTTTTAGTTACTAAAATTTTTCAAAATGTGTAGTATTATGTGAGGATTTAATCTGGTTTTTAAAAGTTGTTACTTTTTAAATTATATTAGTTGACTTTTTTTTTTTTTTTTTAACATCTTTATTGGGGTATAATTGCTTTACAATGGTGTGTTAGTTTCTGCTTTATAACAGAGTGAGTCAGTTATACATATATATATGTTCCCATATCTCTCCAGATGCTTTGTATCTGGTTGAGTTGCCTGGATTAATTCTAGGTTTTGTGGATTTGTAGCTGTAGAGTATACGTATAGGCTTTACATGTATACTCTACACTTTTCAGTTATACATATATATATGTTCCCATATCTCTTCAGATGCTTTGTATCTGGTTGAGTTGCCTGGATTAATTCTAGGTTTTGTGGATTTGTAGCTGTAGAGTATACGTATAGGCTTTACATGTATACTCTACACTTTGATATGGGGTAGATTGTTTTGTAAATTGTTATTTAAACCATGTAACTCAGAGAGTATTCCTTTATACGTAAGGTGACCATGTGTTTAGTCAGCCTTTTGTGGTGTGTTAAAAAAAAAATCACTGTGTAATGAGTGATGTTATTTTGAGAATTGTATGCACATGTGAGTATAAAGGGTTGAGAACTACAGTATATGAAACAAGTCGCAGTGCTTGGAAACTTTCTATAGCTTGGATTATAAGATTTCTCATGTGGAACATGAGAGTTACGTTAAGAAAAATTATTTTCCTCCACTTTAAGACTCCAAGCCAACTTTTCTTAGCTGTGACCATTACAGTGTTAGGGTCTTCTCCCTAAGATTTTGGAAGGAGCAAGTTCCTCACCACCACCACTGTTAGTGAATTATGTAGAAGAGCACTTCTGTATAGCTTTCTTCATCACATATCCCCATTTATTGCCCTAAATTGCCTGTTTAAAAATGTGTTTATGCTAATAGAGAATCCTTTCCGTTGAATGATACTGAATTTCAGGAAGGTAAGTTGTTGATCATGGATACAACTTCATTGGTGTAGAAGTAAATGTTATTGATGCTCTAAGTAAAACATTAGCTTTGACTTAGTGAACTCAAAAGTTTTATATAACTGGATTTTTGCTATGTAGATTTATTCCTTAAAAATAGGTTTGAGTGGGGCTTCTCTGGTGGCGCAGTGGTTGAGAGTCCGCCTGCCGATGCAGGGGACATGGGTTCCTGCCCCGGTCTGGGAAGATCCCACATGCTGTGGAGCGGCTAGGCCCGTGAGCCATGGCCGCTGAGCCTGCTCATCCAGAGCCTGTGCTCCGCAACGGGAGAGGCCACAACAGTGAGAGGCCCGCGTACTGCAAAAAAAAAAAAAAAAAAGTAGGTTTGAGTGGATATTTCTATAGATAAGTAAACTGTGTTTTAGATGTAATGAAACTTTGCATCTAATTCTGTCCCATAGCATAGAATAAATCACTGCCCCTTAATTTTTCTGATCTAAATTTTTATTTACTGGCTTTGCTTAGCATGTTCTCCCTCTTTTCTCTTTTTTTCAGCTTTATGGAGGTGTCATTGACAAATAAAATTTTAAGATATTTAAAGTGTACAACATGATGATTTGATATACATTGTGAAAGGTTTCTTCCCTATGAAGTAATTAACACATCCATCACCTCACATATTTACTTTTTTTTTGGTGATAACATTTAAGTTCTCTTAGCAAATTTCAGTTATACAATTCAGTGTTAATCAACAATAGTCACCACATCCTCCCTCCTTTCTTTTCACACTTGCTTCTTCTTTCCTAGGCTCTTCCTCTCCCTCTCTCATTCCCCTCATTGTCCTCTATCCTTTTCTACTATCCTTAGCCTGTGTGCTAGTTTGTAGAAAATTTTTTTTACAAATTATTCATGTATTCTTACATAAGTATTTTTCTTTGCAAAAGATCCTGTAGTGGTCTTAATAGATTATAATTTTATATTTAAAATTTGTACAGGAAATCAGTGCTCCATGACTTACTCTGTGCAGATGACTTGGTTCCTTTAGTCTATTTAAAAAAACATATTAGACAAACAAGTAATTGTTTATTAGTCTTTAATAATTGTTCACTTGAACTAACAACATAAGTTCTTTAAAGAAAATTTTTAGCGTAAGGAATTATAAAAACTGAAACAGATGGCCTTTGAATAAGAAATTATAATTTACTGTTATTGATATTTAAAAGTATATTAAGGAATTAAGGCATTAAAACATTTTAGAAAGTACAACTGCCTCAAGATGATTTTCACAGATGTACTCTTCATTGATTTTGTATGCTAAAAGCATTTATCCATTTCTGTCTCTAAATATGTTATTTGCAAGGTAAAAAATCTCATTATAGTTTTGGTATATATTTAATTTTATGGGGAATGTAATTGATATGAAAAAGGCAATAATTTACAATGTGAAAAAAATCATCAGATTTTATAAATCTGAGGTGTTTTTGGCTTTATTAAATAATTTTATTTCTAAAGTTGCTTCTTTCTTAATAGAATCAATGAAGAAACAATTAAAAATGCATAT